GATAGTTGTATGTCATAGCTGCACATCCTTCTAGTTGCTGTATGTGGGACGCGGCCTCAGCATGGCGGGACAAGCGGTGCGTCGGTGCACGCCCGGGATCGAACCCGGGCCGCCAGCAGCGGAGAGCACTCACTGAACCGCTAAGCCATGGGGCCGGCCCGCTCTGCCGCCTTCTACCTCCACCTCAGCCACCTCTCCAGCTCAACACCTGGGTCTCACCTGCCTGGGCCCACCTTCTTCCCTGGCGGGTGGGAAGTGCAGGGAGGTGGGAGGACCCTTGCAGACCTGATGCCCAGCACACAGTAGGCCATCAATAAAAGCTAGCTGGTACTTGCACTTTGTACTTTTTAACTCATGGCTGTGCCTCTTTGTGTGTCACAAGGTCTGGGAGGGAGGCTTCCCAATCTGTGGATGAGCAGGTGGAGAGAGAGAGGGGAGGGCAGCTTGGAGGAGCCGGGCTGACCTGGCGTCATCTCCTTGCTGGGTGGTCCTGGGTGGGTGCCGTCCCTCCCTGCGGCTTAGTCTGCTCGTGGGTAAAGTGGAGCTGGAAGAGAAGTATCTCCTGGGGTGGGTGGGTGTGAAGGTGCCTGGCCCGGAGCCCAGCCCCCAGGGAGTGCTCACCCACTGGGCCTTCATGGTCATCACCGGCCTCACCTTGCTGGTCAAGGTGGGCCCAGGCCAGACCCAGGGCTGCTGATGCCTCCCCGCCTTTGGATCTTCACCTGTGCAGCTGGAACCTCCCCTGGAAGTGGCTGGGGGAGATCCGGGGTTCCCCTCAGGCCCTAACCAGTGTGGCCACCAGAGGGCACGAGGTGGGAGATCTGGACGTTGTGGGCCAGGGCACCCTCTGCTGGGTTTGGGGCAACAAGGGGGAAGGGAGCCTAGGGGCTTGGAATCGGCCCCCGGGCTGTGGGCTGCCTGCAGCAGCTTGACACCTTCTGCTCTTCTGCTTGGGAACTGCCGGCCTTCTCCCCGCTCCAGCCCTGATAGGGTCAGGTTTCTGGGCCCAGCAGCTGTCTCCAGTGCATGCACCCAGGGAGCTGGACAGGGGGAAGGGGTTGGGGGAGGCGGCTCCTTGCCTTGGCCGTGGCTGCCTCGGCCTCCACCAGCACAGGACCGAGGCACCGGCATCTCAGGTTTCCTTCTTCAGAGGAGCCCCTCTCCCGTGGCAGCCCCTTGACTTAGTCATGTAAACACCTGGGTCCCCGCAGGTCGGACAGGCGCACCCTGAGGCTGGGCCATCTCTCCTTCTGTCCTGGGGATGAGGTCCAGCAGCCCGGCTTTGGATCCAGGCCCTGCGTGGCTGTGAGAAGGACTTTGGGCCAGAGCTGTGGGATCGGTGCTTTGTTCATGCCAAGAGTGAAAGCCATTGATTCTGGATGGCTATGACCTTGAGCAAGTCCCTTCTCCTCTCCAGGCTTCAGGTGTCCCCTTCATTCATTAAAATGAACATTTATCGAGCACCTCCTATGGGCCAGGTTTAGGCACTAGGGACACAGCCGTGAATATAACTGAAAAAAAAATCCCTGTCCTCATGGAGCTGACATTCTAGCAAGGGAGACACAGAAACAAATAAGGAAATATTACAGGGTGATAAGCACTATAGAGCAAAAGGAGGGAGGAGAATCAAGTGTGAACTGAGAAGTTAACATCTGACAAAGACTTGAAGGAGGTGAGGGGGCCAGCTATGGGGATATCCAAAGGAAGACCATTCCAGGCTGAGGGAGCAGCATATGCAAAGGTCCTGAGGCAGGACTGGCAGGTTCAAAAGACAGCAAAGAAGCCACTGTGGCTGGAACAGAGTGAGCAAGCAGGAGCCAAGTTCTGGAGATGATGGAGCCGAGGTCAGGGCCAGAGCAGGGAAGGCCTTAGAGGCCATTTTGGCTTTTACTCTGAGATAAAGAGCTCCTGGAGGGTTTGAGGCAGAGAAATGACACGATCTAATATACATTTAACATGATCACCCTGCTACTGTGCTGATAATGAACTGTAGGTGGGTCCAGCATAGAAACAGGGAGACCGATTGGGAACCCATGTAATAATCTGTGTGAGACAATGATGCCTCAGACCAGGGCAGAGGTGAGAAGGTAGAGCCAATGGAATTTCAAGAGAAGGAGAGGAGCCCTTGTAGACGCCGACGATGCCACCTACCAGAGCCGCCCTGCGCTGCCTAGCCACGGTCGACCCCACTATATTCTCCAACATCGACAGCAAGCCCTTGGGCCAAGTCTCCTTCAAGCTGTTTGCAGACAAAGTTCCAAAGACAGCAGAAAACTTTCGTGGGCTGAGCACTGGGGAGAAAGGATTTAGTTATGAAGTTTCCTGCATTCACAGAATTATTCCAGGATTTATGCGCCAGGGTGGTGACTTCACACAGCATAATAGCACTGGTGGCAAGTCCACCTCCAGGGAGAAATTTGATGAGAATTTCATCTGGAAGCACATAGGTCCTGGCACCTTGTCCGTGGCAAATGCTGGACCCAGCACAAGCGGTTCCCAGTTTGTCGTCTGCACTGCCAAGACTGAGTGGCTGGGTGACAGGCATGTGGTGACAGGCATATGGTCTCTGGCAAGGTGAAAAGGGCATGACTACTGTGGAAGCCATGGGGTTCTTTGGGTCCAGGGATGGCAGGCCAGCGAGATCACCATTGCTGTCTGTGGACAACGCTACCAAATTTGACTTGTGTTTTACCCTAACTGCCAGATGATTCCTTCCATAGCTCAGGAGAGCTCCTCTCACCCCTATCTGCTCACACATCCTCGAATCTTCATGCTCTGGCTGCAGTTCTGTGGGTCCCACTGTCTCCTTCTTCCCCTCAAGTCTAGCTGGACTGATGAGTTAAGTTTATGATCATGAAATACAGACTTAACAACAACAAAAAAGAGAGAGAGAGAGAAGGAGAGGGATTGAGGATGACGTCGTTTCTGGATGAATGGAACTGCCATGAACTGAAACACAGAGGAACGTGGGAGGGGCCGGTTTGGAGGTAGGTCAGATCAGTTTTAGATGTGCTCAATTTGAGATCCAGGCGCGGAGGTCAGGGAGTGGTTAGATCCACGAGTCTGGGATTCAGGGTTCAGGTCTGGGCTGAAGACAGAAGCTTGGAATTCCCTGTCCTGACCCAGAAGTCCTGGCCCCAAACCACACACTCTACCGCCGGTTACCTGGAGAGCTTGTTAAAATGCAGGTTCCTGCCCGCTCCCAACTCCCCCGCACAAGGTTCTGATTCAGTAGCTTGTGGGTGAGGCCTGACTGTTTTTGAACAAAACCACCCCAGGTGATTCTGAGGAGCTGACAGGTTTGGGACCTGCTGCTAAATCTACATACAGTAAAATTTACTGTGATGATTTTCAACAAATGTAAGCCGTCATGTCACCACCACTGCATGAAGATAGGGAATACATGCATCTCCCGGAATAGCTCCCCTGTGCCACTGTGCAGTCAACGCCCTCCTCCCCCCGCCCCTGGAAACCACTGATCTGCTTCCTGTGCCTATGGCTTTGCCTTTTCCAGACTGTCATATGGATGGAATCACACAGCATGCGGCCTTTTGTGTGTGTCTTCTTTTATCCAGCATAAGGTCTTATCTGGAAGTTTTATACAAAACTGAGTTTTAATATCATCCCTAATACTTTATACTATAGTTTCTCATCCTAATATATACTAGGAAGAATGTGTCAGGAAATTTTCCAGAAGACTTCCAGATACCCTCAATACCCTCCAGACTGTGTGTGCCCTGCTGTGAGAGTGTCGGGAGCCTTGCCCCAAGGTACACCCGCTGCTAGGGGGAGGCATGGATAACTAAAAGAAAGTGAGAAAGCGGGGATGGGTTCAGTGGGCAAGAACCACCTCTACTGCACCTCCCTCCTGGTGCACTGCTTCTAATCTGCTCTGTCCCCCCCGAAGGTCAGTAGAATTGTGCTCAGACCAAGAGACAAGGGCTTACCTATGAGTAAACTGCAGTAGCTTTTGGCGCTGGCTCTTTGCCAACTGTTTTGCCTGCTCTGGAAGCTTTTTGTTTCCCTTCCAGTTTCTCAGCCGAATTGTGGATGCTGGAGAAGAGCCCTTCTCGGCCAGTGGCTGTCTCTGCAAAGTGGTGTGGTCCCGTTAGGCACAGTATGGGCTTTGGGAGCAGAGAAAGCTGGTTTGAGTTCTGTCTCTGCCCTTGCTAGCCCTGTGACCTTGGGCAAGTGTCCTGACCTTTCTCTCGCCTCAGTTTTCTGCTGGGTAAAATGGGGTTAGCACTCCTGGCAGCCTCACTGGGTGTCGTGAGGATTCACTGAGCCAGTGCAGGTGAGCATGGTGCGTGGCAGAGAGGGGTGCTGCCCTGATGGTGGCTGGCATCATGGTGACCCCCGGACAGTGACAGAGTGAATCAGGATAGACTTGGGAGGTCTGCCTGAGTCAGAAGAAAGAGTGAGGGGCTCTGCAGACAGATAATCTACCTTTCAGTTTCACCTCTGCCACTTCATTGTCTGTGTCCCTTGAGCCAGATCCTTCTCCTCCCTGTAAAATGCCTCAGTTTCCCCCTCTGTAAAATGAAGGAGCATGACGAGATTTGCCCTCCAGGATCCCTCTGCAATGGTCCGGGAAGTGGTTCTCAAACTTCAGAGTGCACCCAAATCCCTGGAGAACTTGTTAAAATAGACTTCGGAGCCCCATCCCCAGAGTTTCTGACGCAGTAGGTCTGGGGTGGGGTCCACGAGTTTGCATCTCTAACAAGTTCCCTGAGGATGCTGATGCTGTTGGTGCAGGGACCACACTTGGAGA